AAAAACTCTACTTCATTTCATTAGTCCAATAAGATACCGAACAGTAGGATATAAAACTACATTTCATTTCATTAGTTCAATAGGATACAGAACAGTGGGATATAAAACTCTATTTCATTTCATTAGTCCAATAAGATACAGAACAGTAGGATATAAAACTCTACTTCATTCCATTAGTCCAATAAGATACAGAACAGTAGGATATAAAACTACATTTCATTTCATTAGTTCAATAAGATACAGAACAGTAGGATATAAAACTCTACTTCATTTCATTAGTCCAATAAGATACAGAAGAGTAGGATATAAAACTACATTTCATTTCATTAGTCCAATAAGATATAGAACAGTAGGATATAAAACTACATTTCATTTCATTAGTCCAATAAGATACAGAACAGTAGGATATAAAATTCTATTTCATTTCATTAGTCCAATAAGATACAGAACAGTAGGATATAAAACTACATTTCATTTCATTAGTCCAATAAGATACAGAACAGTAGAATATAAAACTATGATCAATTTTCTTAGCACATAACGAAATTCCAATCCATTTCATGACGTAATATTAAGTTTTAGAGAATAAGACGAATGTTCTTTAAGACTAACGAAGTGATAATTTACAAATCATGTAAGTAATGTTTGATGTTTTAAAGTCATCACAAATTCTGTTTTTCTTCTAAATGATTGTTTTGTTCTTCTATTGTTTCTAGGCTCTAACTGTTTAAAAAGCTTTTAGATTAGAACTTGCAGGGAAACTGATGCCGTTATTTGTTATTTCTATTTGTTTTAAATGTTTTATTGTACATAATTTGTGCCTTACAGGATAAAAAATAAACTCTGTCCAAACACGTTACAATGTTATTTTTTTTTAAAACAAAGCTGTATTCACATGGTTTTCTAGTTTTTGTACGTGACATTTACAGCTTCTCTCGTAAGATTCTGACAAAATCTTGATGAAATCATTTGGCTCAGTCTTGGCAATGTTTTTACAAGAAAAATAACTGAGGTTTTTGAGGTTTCTTCAAGTCTATCCTCGGTCAATCTTTGTCACTGATTTTACAAAGATAACAACAAAGATTCTTGAGGATCCTGCCTCCTAGCTTTGACCGGAACTCTTAGAATGATGTTTTCAAAGATTTTTTTTCAAACTTTAATGACGGGGGCAACAGACCTTTGGGGTTGTTAGGGGCACCAAGCGGTCCTGTCGCTGCTCTACTAGCATCCCTGGTAAGTGTTAATTAAGACAAATTTATACAAAAATATTTTTTATTCAACAACAAAAACTATTATGAAATCATAACAACAAAGTCGAGCAAAGTTAGAGGACGATTCCAATCAAACACAGTCTACCTTATTTCTAGGTAGTACAAGTAGTAATCAACACCATATCATTCAACTGTGTATCTTCAGTTAGCCTTTATTCTACCTTGTAACAAAATAGACTGTCCCCTTTCTGTTTGGAATCGTCCACGCATGTGCATAACTAGCTTTGACCGATAATAAATATTAACACTGCTCAGATCTATAGAGTATTAAAAACAAGACATCACAGGAATAGTTCTATACTGACCGGTTAATAGAGTAGGGGCAAGTGGTCTGAAGACTAGAGGGTGTGGCTAGAGGGCTTTGTCGAGGAGGTTTCGGATTAGTGTCCTGTGTAACGATTTTGCCTCTCTATGTACTAAGCCGATATGAAAATGGCGCCCTCATTTGTCATTTGCCACCAATCTAAAATGAAGATTATCAAAGTTAAATCTTGAATGACATTTATGGATTCCCACACCACATGAACTAAACATGTTTCGTATGCATGTTTACATAAAGTTAGATCAGAAATGATCATTAATTTAAGTGCATTCGTGAAAACCACCCATACCGCCATTTTGGTCGCTATGTTTACATAATGACGTCGAAAGTGGAAGTTCGATTTCTGTGCCGTTCTTCTTTTTATCTGTTTCTAATTCACAGAAAGTTAATCCCAAAAATCCTATACACAGACCCACACTAAATAATGTTATTTATTCTAATTTCAATAAAAGAAAAGATTGGGATTAACCATCGGATTTACCCATGTACTTGTAAAAGCCATTAAATCCGCTGAAATAAGAACAACACCACGAACGCGCAATGTTTACCGTGACGTCCTTTATAAATAAAGGGCGCGTAATCCATCCTACGCTCTCATTCAGACGAAAATGAGTTTCTCCAAGCAGATCGACTTTTCTGACAAAGTAAGTAAATAATCTCCAATATTGAAGTTGGAGAAATAATTTAATTGGGGAGAAAAATATAAGACTGTGAATAAATTAAGGTTTAATACAAGATCCTTCAAGAGGATTCCTTAAATAACACAGTTGGAGAATATTCCCACTATTGAAGTTGGAGAAAGTCCCCACGATCCTTATATTTATAAATTGATAACAAAATTCCCTTCATCCTGACAGATTTTTGAGATTTGTTACACCTGCCTCGCTAGCGACACCCTTTACGTGTTAGCAGCTTTAAAAAAAGGATCAAGGTAATTATATGAGCTGTAGGGAATACATAGATTTTGACGAAGGTGCTTGATGACAGGAGGGTGTGGCTAAGGAGGGCGTGGCTTGTGCTAGCGACACCCACAACAGGTAAGCTATCTCTCTTATATATAATGAACATACTTTCGTTCTGTGCTGGTAATAAGTTTCTTTTTCTGGCTTAATAAGATGTGCTGTGGAAAGAGCTGAACATTGTTTGGAACTCACAAAACCACACCCAAAAGCAAAATGACCAATGCACTATATAATCAGTATCGACACAATGCTGAGATGGTTTCTATTTTGCGTTTGAGATACAAAAATGATAAATATATAAAAATAAATAACTATTTTTTTCTAGTACCCCATCCCCCAAAAATAGGGCATGGCGTTTGTTGCTGCTATTCTAGTTCGGGAACCCTCACTGCCCTTGCTGCTGGTGTTCGTCTAAATCGTCGCCACCGAAACCAAGTGGTAAGAGTTCGTCCACAGTTTTAACAATGTAGGTACAATCTGGCTTCGTCATGTACACTAACCAATCCTTCCCAAACTAAAATAGAATCAAAATAAAACAATGAAATGAAATCGACATTTGTTGACGTCCTAATAAGCTAATGAAATGAAATAGACTGTTTATTTCCAACTGTCCTGTATCTTATTGGACTAATGAAATGAAATGTAGTTTTATATCCTACTGTTCTGTATCTTATTGGACTAATGAAATGAAATAGACTGTTTATTTCCAACTGTTCTGTATCTTATTGGACTAATGAAATGAAATGTAGTTTTATATCCTACTGTTCTGTATCTTATTGGACTAATGAAATGAAATGTAGTTTTATATCCTACTGTTCTGTATCTTATTGGACTAATGAAATGAAATAGACTGTTTATTTCCAACTGTTCTGTATCTTATTGGACTAATGAAATGAAATGTAGTTTTATATCCTACTGTTCTGTATCTTATTGGACTAATGAAATGAAATTTAGTTTTATATCCTACTGTTCTGTATCTTATTGGACTAATGAAATGAAATAGAGTTTTATATCCTACTGTTCTGTATCTTATTGGACTAATAAAATGAAATATAGTTTTATATTCTACTGCTCTGTATCTTATTGGACTAATGAAATGAAATGTAGTTTTATATCCTACTGTTCTGTACTGGACTAATAAAATGAAATGGAGTTTTACATCCTACTGTTCTGTATCTTATTGGACTAATGAAATGAATTAGAGTTTTATATCCTACTGTTCTGTACCTTATTGGACTAATAAAATGAAATGGAGTTTTACATCCCACTGTTCTGTTCCTTATAGTTTTAATCAAAGCATACTACGTCTAAAAGTGCACAATGAGGACAATTGCACAAATTCAAAAGGTGAATCAACTTTTTTATATTCAATGAATTTATAAGAAATGATGTAAAGAAATTACTTACCTCTCTTAAGACCTGACGACATGCTCCACAAGGAGTTATTATACTTTTTAGATTACTGAAAAACAGAATTTTTATTGATTGAAATAGTGGAGTGGAATATGTCTAGTAAACACGAGAGAGTCATTGACGTAAGTAAGATAAGGGCCTGCTGTAGTTTAGTGGGGCGGGGGAAAGCGGTGAGGGTATATTTGGGGGCGACACCCTTCGTCTAAAATAACAGTCTACCCCCGAGAAATACATTCTCTAAACCCATATTACTACTGAAGGTTTGTATAGGAATTCTAATCAGCTATCCTGATGCGGATTTTATATCCGAAATATGCGTCGGATGCATAACATAAGTCAATAATTTTTCCGGCCCTTTAGATTAGATAAATATTTGCTATCATATGTATTTATAACTGAGCAATACAAAATCTCCCGATAAGAAATTGTCGTTGAGAGTGTAGAACTTTACACCCAGACTTTACACAAGGACATAAAGATAAATTATGTTGCCCTATATTATTTACTGTTATATATTATGTGTTTTATCTTTAGCATTGTATAGTTATTTTCTATATTACGTTATACTGAAACCTTCCGTCAATAAAACTTAGTCGATAAATTCCTGAGCTAGCTAAATTGTTAGGTACCACATTTTATGCCCTGCTTTGCTTGCTTCTGTACAAGCTATTGAAGGCATAACGCGATGCAGTGTGCAATGAGAGAAATTATGCAATGAGAGAAATTATGCAAGGATAGCGTCATAAACAAGTAATTAAAATGTCAAAATTCTAACACGGTTTATATATTTATGAAACGAGCTTACAAATGTCATTAAGAGAGCCTTTGGGAATCGTCAAATTACCTGGATATGGCAATGGCTTTAAAACGTTTGTATCCTTCTGAAACAGCTTTGAATATAGCAATTCTTTCAGCACAAATTGTTAGACCGTAGGATGCATTTTCAACGTTACATCCTGCAAGAAAATATGAGAAATTGGCATCAAAACGTTACAGCAAGCATGAAAATACGAAAGCACGGGGAGACATTGCTGACGCAGAGTTGATTCCCTTTGTAGCGGGGTGAATAGAAATTATAAACTTGTGTAGGTGGAACTAACTAGAGAAGTCAAGTTATGTTTAGTTCGTGTAAGGGTGCGAATAGAAGGTATACGTTGCGGGATTATCGGTAGGTGTACAGTAGAAAAAACGAATCGTGTCCGTACCGTGTCCAGACGTGTTCACTTCTTCTATTTTCGTTTGTATTGATTATTACGCACCGTACACCACACCGGACACCGTACCTCGTCAAATCGTGGCTTAGAAAAGAAAAGAGTACAACTTTAAAGGTAAACTTTTTAGAAATCCGTTGGCCAATAATGCTTATGTACATACGGGACATTCCATGTAAAATGTAAAAACAAAACACACTGCTCTAGTTTCGACATATTTGTCTGTACGTGCATTAACTTTATTCGGTCAAAGACATATATGCATATGCAGATACGTTTCAAAGCTTCATAGTAAGGGAACGTTACTCTCCGATTAAAATTAAAAATCCAGCTCTTCAATTTGAAGGTTAAAAAGGTTACCTGTAAAAATGTGATCCCCGTCTTCTGTTAATAAAGCGGCGCCAACTGGAAAATGGCTGTAAGGACTGTAGCTAAATGACTTCGCTTCTTGAGACATTTTAATTAGTTTGTATATAACATCTGAAAATTTGAATTAGAAAAATAGAATAGTGGATTTACATGTTCTGTTACTATACAACTGTTCTGTTACTATAAAACTGTTCTGTTACTATACAACTGTTATACAACTGTTCTGTTACTACACAACTGTTCTGTCACTCTACAACTGTTATACAACTGTTCTGTTACTATACAACTGTTCTGTTACTATACAACTGTTATACAACTGTTCTGTTACTACACAACTGTTCTGTCACTCTACAACTGTTCTGTCAGTCCTCCGAACTGAAAGGTGGCCTTTTCAATCCCCCCCCCCCCCCCTTTACATAAGATCTGAACAATACAAGCCTAACAGTTATTTAGAGAATAGTCTCAGAGGAAAGGCTTAACCTTGAAAAAGTAACTCAAATAGATGAGAAGGAGTCCTGGGACTTAATTGGGTTTTGGGCGCATTCCCTACGAATGTTTTATAACATTTATACCCTGCTGCATTTTATTTCTGGGGTCCCGAGGACTTGTTTCAACTAGTCTCTGTGGTATGGTAGTTGAGAAACCACAATGAAAACTTGTAATTAGATCTCGGGACCTGTATCGTTCTTATTGCTCTATATCATATATATGTAGGCTATATATTTAACCTACCTATTATATTTAATACGTCGTAGGTCGTGTTCATGTACAGTATAAGTTATATTTCTCGGAAAAATTTAATCAAATCGAAACAACCTAACTTACATTACTTTTTTTATAAGGGATTGTAAAGATTTTTTTTTAAATTGTATAATGTGTACTGGGAATATATTAAGCGCGTGTTGTATTGTTACTAGTGAATAAGTACTGTT